TATAAAATGTTTTTCACTATTTTATTTTTATTTTTATTTTTAAAAGATGACCGGTAAGGGAATCTTAACCCTTGACTTGGTGTTGTCAGCACCACACTCTCCCAAGTGAGCAAAACGGCCATCCCTATGTGGGATCCGAACCTGTGGCCTTGGTGTTATCAGCACCGCACTCTCCCGAGTGAGCCACGGGCCGGCCCCTCACTATTTTATTTTTAAAGTAGCAGCTCTAGCAGCTTGCTCTAATTATAGTGCCCATTTCATGAGTGGGCAAACTGAGGCTTAGAGAGACATGTTGCTTGCCCAAAGTCACTCAGAGAATAAACGTGACTTGAATCCCAGTCTGCTGACTCCCAAGCCTGTTCACTGCTTAGTTGCTTCTCAGGTGCTGCGTGTGCACGTGGGCTCGTTCTCATCTGAAGATGGGGAGCTCCAGGTCACGTGGTGTGACAGGAGTGGTGGGATTGAGCAGGGGAAGGATAATGGGAGAATAGAAAGGGAAGGGGCTGAGCCCAGACCTCACCTCTGCCTTTGCCACCTGCAGGCTGCAAATCCCTACTGGACCAACCGAGGCAGCTCAGTGTCCATGTCTGGGGGCCGTTTCCGCTGCCCCTCCTGCCGCCATGAGGTGATCATGGACCGTCACGGCGTGTACGGCCTGCAGAGGAATCTGCTGGTGGAGAACATCATTGACATCTACAAGCAGGAGTGCTCCAGGTGAGACCGCCGGGCTGCTGGGAGCCCATCCTCTCTCCCCGCCATTCTCTGCCTGGCTCCTTCCTCCTCCGTCATCTGCTCAGCATCCAGTCCTCTAGCTGGATTGGTGACAGTGGGTCAGAAAGCCATTTCCTTCTTCCTCAGGCAGGAGCGGAGGCCTATGTCCCCCAATCCTGGCTCTCAGGATTGCTCAGTGAACGGGAAGGGGCTCAGATATTAGACTGCCCTCCTGGGAGATACTGAGACAGACAATGGGGGGAAAGAGAGAGGACTGGGAACAGCTAAGTGGCTCTGGTCAGCAGAGCAAGCACCCAGTGACAGTACAACGGCCTTTCTCCCATGTGTTGGGCGGCACAGTGCCGGGCACTGGGAATACTTCATCTTGGTGCCTCACAACAACCCTGTGCATTAGGCATGACTTTTATTGTCCCCATTTCACAGATGAGGAAACTATGGCTCAAAGAGGTGAAGTCAATTACCCAAGCTTTCCCAGCGGGGAAGTGGAAGAGCTGGGAGGTGACCCAGTCGATCTAGCTTCAAGTCTCCCTGTTAATAAAATGGGCCAGTGATAGGCAGAACCTGTGAGTGGTGGA